CTCTGAAACGTTGGTAAACATCTACCAGACTACACAGCGCAACAACCCAGAAGACAGAAATCTTCATACTCATCGCCCTGATGACGGAGGCAGTATGACCTCTGAAACGTTGGTAAACATCGACCAGACTACACAGCGCAACAACCCAGAAGACAGAAATCTTCAGCCATTATTCAGTTGATCGTGCGCAAGATAACGTTGATACGAGGCTTATTAGAAATGTTTTAGGAGACATAGTTGAACCGACATTGCCGTGGTACTGTGCCGCTGTGTTGTAGCCCAACAGGCGTCACTGAGATTGTGAGGCAGAGAGGACAGATTTGTGAAATGATTCCGTACGCTTTCATAGGAGGTTAAAGGAAAGTATCCCAACTTTTCAGACGGACGTTTTAGGAAATTCTTCCATTATGTACCAAGGTTAGTTAGCCTTTGCTTTCCGGAATTCAAGTATCTCAAGAGACCACCTGGGATACTTGAGGGCAGATGGGAGAATAGTATTAAACGGATTTTAAGAAAGTTGGGCGATAAAGTATAAACTTGATAAATCTGGTTATGGATATGATCTAGTGGTGGGCTTCTGTGAACACGGTAATGGCGTTCATGCTCCATGAACTCAGCGGCAAATTCTTCTGTCTGGTTCGTTATGCTCATCCGAAACACTAAAATTGGAGGAATTTAAAATGAATTATTTGATATAGCCTGCAACACTGACACGGACAGCCCCTGGACTGCGGTCACAGTCCTTTCGGCTCGAATGCATTTTTAACATTCTTAACATAATTTAATTCATGACTAATTTATTTGATGTGTAACATCAAGGTTTTTTTAATATTGGCCGTAAGAATAATTTTAGTTACTGTGACTATTGTATTAGCCTCGATGTCGGACGTAACAATCTTCAGCTATTGTTAATAACATACTTTATGTGTGATGTCATGGCCCACAGCCATGGTGAGAAATCTAGATCTGGCCCGAGGGTAGTTAGTGTTAGCCCATGCCTCAAATTGAGAACAACTGCTTAATTCATTTCAGCTTCTTCTTTAAAGTGTTTACCGACAGAAAGAGCCAATAACAGGCAAATAACTACAAATAGGCATAATAATATTGCATTTTCGCCCGACCTGATTCCTAGGCCAGACTTCATTACTGCTTGAAAGGCAAATTTGTTCACTAGTCACGCGTCTGTTAGCTTTTGAAGAAAAAACTTTGCTACACCCATCGCTACAGTTAATGAGAAGCTATGCAGAATGTTACCTATTCGAATCCAAGATTAAATTGTATATTGTTTTTGTTTTCTTCGGTTTTACTGCACTCTTTATCCACTTTGCCTGATCAGAATGAGACACATTCTGCCGTTTCGGCAATCTTTGTGGTGGCCTGTAAACTACACACAAAAACTAGTGTCTCAGAAATACAAAGAAGTTTAATCAGAATGACTTACCAAGAGAAACTCTGTCAGCTGTCGCCTCTCGATTTAGCCAAAATGAGACCCACGACAGGACAACCAACAGAACACAGGGACCGTATACCTGAATCAAAAAATTTCCCATATGTCTCTGAAGATGGAAGCTGACAAGCAACATTGAGTATTCACCTGGAATCAAAAAGCACAGTACAGCTTAATAAATAAATAATAGCCGATGCCCGTCAAGCTTGCGTTTAAGTTGTTAATAACCGTTGCCAAGGAAACGATGTTGAGGGATGCTCGGCTCAATGGTTTCAATTACTGACCATAAAATTGTTTGTGGATGGATAATAATTGTTGTGGACCCGATTCTATTGCGACGCGTCGAAATTGTTTCCTTCTGTGTTAAACGAGACAGGAACATTATAGTAAATGGTGAATAGATAAGGATCTGACAGGGGACTATATTTGCCTGTTTCAGCGCTTATCCCTGGAAAGACTTCAGAAAATCACCCAAACTTTAAGATAGCACCTGGGTTCGTGTCCCAATGAAGATGGTTTCTGTAGCTTGGACACTAAACGGTATCAAGACCAACGTTTTTTGAGATTATAGGAACATAGGCTGCTGCAGGGGTCGCAAAGATAATATCCACTGCTGACTACCACTTGTTATGGCGTAGGCTGATGAAGGAGCCTGGGCTCCACCGCTGCTCCCACGGGCCGTGTCCCGCCCAACCATTTCCTACCGCCTGGGTATTGTTGAGACCATCCGCCATTTCCAACGCTCACTTCGCCTCTCCGGCAGTGCCCTGTAAACGAAAACCCTAGTATAAAAGGCCTTTGTGTGTAACCGGTCCAGTCTCTCCGGGGTGTGGTGTTACTTGCAAGATATATTCAGAATAGTGCGATGTTAAACATCCTCCAATATTCAAGTACCGTACGACTTAGGCCCTCGGTTTGCCTAACCATACGTAGTCAGAATCAGTTTCCACTTACTTGGCAATGCAACAGATGTGGTTAGCAACCAGTAGCTGGTCTTGGGTCCAGTGGTCCTCACTCTCTGTTAGGATCATCAACAGTTCCTCTGTCCTCTCCAGGTTAACGGCAGGTTCACTCTTCGTAGACTTGGACATGACCTGCCCCACACGAACTGACCGTCGTGAATATTTTGGAGTTCTTCGTCTTTCTTTCTAATGACGCAATTATTATTTCCTTTATACTTATTTTAAGTTTATCTCAACACGTTGATTTGGCTCTTCGCAGGTCTGGTGTTCTAGTTTTTGTAGCTTGTGTGTTTGCTGTGTATTTTTCTGCTTGAATATTTGTTAATTTCATACTTGTAAATTTTTTTGGCCGTTGCATCACAACAGCTGTAACCCCGAAAAATTTGTTATGCGTTCAAGTTTCTTTAGCTCGGAAATGAAGCACAAATATAAAACAGTGCTTTCGCTGACATAGTTACAAGAAAATGTCTCTTCCCGGCTTCCGGTAGGAGCAATGAAGCACCTCTAAGCGCTACACGACTTTCCTGATATCCCATAATGATTGAGGGGAATACGTAAGACGAGCGGGAAGGATACGTAGCGTCCATGGAAGAGAGGAAAAAATGCGTAAGGAATTTGTGGGAGAACCTGAAGGGAAGAAGTACTTTGAATACGCGGAGGATAATAAAATGTGTCTTAAAGAAATATGGTGCATGGGTGCAGACTGAATTCAAACCCAATACAGGGACCAGTGCCAGGCTCTTGTGAACACGGCAATGAACCTTTAGGTTGCATAAAAGGAAGGAAGTTTCAGGATTTTGTTTCATAAAGCTAAATAAAAGATGAAGAAGGGTTAGAATGAAAGGAAACAGTTTTTAAAATTGAGATCACCACTATTTGAATTAGGCCTACATATCTTTTAGGACAGCCTTGCTTTGTGTGGAATATGCAAGGCGTTTTCCGATGCAAAAAAGAGGTTGTAACAGGAGATGAGAGGTCGACCTGTGGCAGAGGGAAATGCGAGGAGGTGTAAAGCCTCTGCGTTTCCTTTCATCCGTAATTATTTGCGGGAATAATCACGGTCTTTGATCATTATTCTCAAATACTTGAAATGGGCCGACCGACCTCTAATGAATGCACTGTAAAGTTGCAAATGAGCCTGGTTGAGTACACGCCATTCACCTGGGACTTATCAAGTTGTGATGTGCAGGTGAGAGTAGGCTTGCTATACGCACGCAACAAGAAGTCTGCTGCGAAGTTGCAGTGGGAGGAAGACAGATCCAAGTGCGCATGCGAATTCCGCCTAGAAATGTTGTTTGTTTACCTTTACGTACGATAAGTGTCACAATAGCCTCGTTTCTGAGTCACAGCCGTGACAAATAAATTTATTTTTTTCCGCACTAACGGATTACTCATTCAGCCAAATGTAACGAGAATTGTTCATTTTTGGATTGATGTCCCAAAATGGAAGTGATGTAAGTTTCCAGCTGGCATCATAATTGTCGTCATTTTTGATCTCCTTGTACATATTTTAATATTGTTCGTCAAATCACAATTTTTAATAAGATAATAAAATATTTAAAATATCATTTCACGTTCCGTATCGAATGATCGATTTAAAAATTGGAACGTTTTTTACGACATGTTTCGGTTATATTTAACCGTCCTCAGGTATAAATTAGCTTGGTAAATTTAAAACTTGAATTACAATCCTTTACAATGTTATGCAGTTTTATTGAAGATGTTCTTATCAGATTACTCTTATATATTAGAATGAAGGTATTGTTTTTTATATATGGCGTGGTTCATCTGATGTTCAGTATTAGTCGGTGATGAGTAGATAAAGACATGAAGTGTCTTGCGGAAGACATCTAGAAGTATTACTGTGTCGGGTCGAGGTTTAATACTGAAATTATATTTTAAATATTTTATATTTTATTATCTTATTAAAAATTGTGATTTGACGGACAATATTAAAATATTAACCTAATTCACAATATGACGCAAATATACTACCTCCTTGTACATGTTTGTATGTGACTTTTCTCTGCATTTTATTAACTGCAATGGATTATGACAGGTTCTTCAATAACTCCGGCAGCGAATAAGTGTGAAAATCCGCGGCCTCGCTGTCAACGGGGGACCGTAGGGCCTCGATAGTGGCCCGGAAGTCGTCGGCTGTCTCGGGCTCCATCCTCTGGGCTACGAATTTGCTTTCCGACTTCGCGCAAATCGAGTCCAGGAACTGCGCCTGGTTGTCACTCCAGACACACACCGGGATTTGTTGGGTTGCTCCCCGAGCGGAACTATTTTATCCACTTGGGCAGTATAAGTAGTCGAATGGTCGCCACACTTAGCGGAACAGATGCGTCAGCGGGTGCACCGGGAAAAGCGTGTCTTGAAGCTGCTTCCATCGAAGGAGCGCTAGACCAATTTCCCAGTTCCGAAAATTTTTCAAATAATACTTCGTCTTTCAACTGAGCGATGCAAAATGTGAATGCTGTCTTTTCCGTGTCCGTTCCTTATATTTGACATACGATCCGCGGGCCGCATGCATATGACCCCTTTAAGGTATCAGTAAGGAATTTACAAGTGGGGGATTCCTAGGGCAAATCTGGGCTAACGTTCCTGGCCCAGCAATTCGGTATCGCCCTCATGATGGAGGCGGCAAGGACCTCTGAAACGTTGGTAAACTTCTACCAGACTACATGGCACAAAAACCCATAAGACAGACATGATCAAAACAGTCGACATCGGAGACTGCAAGAGTGGAAAGTAAACAAAATTGTAAACAAATCCATGTTATGTAGAGTTGCAGCCAGTGGACATTTCTGCTTGGCTGAAAGGAATCCTCCGTAAGAATGATTACTCTACTTTTCTACTTTTCGAGTAAAGTAACAGGGTTATGTAGTACATGTGAAACAAACCGTATCTATGCACATTGTGACCATCACTCATCATTTACACACGCAAGTACTTACATTAAAGTAATATTATGGATGTACTAATTATATAAAATTTTACGTTTTTCCTAAATGGTCCCATAATAGCAGAGGAACAGTGCCCATCCGTTGACGTTCTGATTAGCGTAAGGCGTTCTCCGGAGGCAGGCCAAACAGCTATGTGAGAGAAAGACAGTTGCAAAGAGCGCCTATTGGCTTTTGCACTGTCTGCCTGTCTGTCTCTCGATTCCTGTTTGATGAATTTTCGTAAAAGTTTTTATTGGAATGTTTCATATAAATCCGTGTAGTGACTTCAGTTTTCGTCAAAATTTGTAAACCGAAGCTACTGTTCGGCTCGACCCGTTCTTGTACTTTTGTTTTCATTATGAGTCCAGACGATCTCTTCAGGGCCTTTGAATTAAGTAGCGTTCCTTTGTTATCCCCCCCCCCCAATTAAGTGTCCTTATTTCCGTCACGTGATTTGCCATTTCGATCTTTGAAATGAGCACAAATTCGTCCATTACTTAAATCAGATTTCCGCTTTCACATAGCGGAGAATATAATTTGTTAGTTCAAAGGAGTACTTGCAGATGGTACAGAGGGCAACACCAGTCCTACCGGACTGCAGTACGTCCGTTTGATTGGCTGATGGAGTCGCGATCAAGTCGAACTGAGAGAGTTTCATGTCTTCGGCGATAGCTACCTGGCGCGCTTTGTTCCACTGTAACAACACAAACACCCTAAAATGTGATTTTTGCTTTACTCTCTCACATTTAAAGATCTGAAGGTTTCACGGTGAAAGAACGCAATGAAATCTTCTGAGGCGATCAGCCATGCCAGAATGGAGTGAATTTCCAATGTTTCGAATGGATATCTACGTCTCCGTTATCAGGAATTCATATGCTGAGTGATGCATCTCTTCATTGTATATCGTCTGTATCAAAGCAAAATGGTGTGAGTGTATGCATGCGTACACATATGTGTGTCCAGGAAAAATAATTTTTTTGGAATGAGAGCCATTTTTCAGAGCGTCTTCACAATTCAGTCAAGTTTATTGATTTTCAAGCATTTATAAAGACATGATTATGCAAATTAGACAGGAAATATTAAATGTAAAGCAACAATCTTATTTTGTTTGTAATTTTTGGTTTAATATCCCCTTATCCAAGAACGGCTGTGTGAACACATTGGTACCTCGCGGCTTGCCACCCGAGAAGACTTCATTTCTGTCTCACATATTTAGTGTATGATCCACTGCATGGGATTTGTTACCGTGGCAGATTTTTCTTTCATTAATTTTTCTGCAGACTTTCTGTTAGCTTTGTAGGATTATCGGCCTAATAACGTTAAAAAGACTCTTGTCACTAAAGAAATTGGCTGCGCACGAAGTGATCGGGTTCGATTTCTAATAGGGGTAGGATTTTTTCTTTGCCACTACGTCTAGACCACCCACCACTGGGCCTATTTGACTTCTTCTCGAATGGGTACAGTGGAATTTTCGAATATAGGAAATAAAAAATAAAAGTGTGGGCGAAACGCTGGTTACGGTACCGTGACAAATAGCCACGAATTTATTGAAATGATCAGAGTATAGCACCAAGATGTGCTCAGTATCTACTTTGACATATCCAATACTTATAAATAATCGATTACTGAACTTTATTAGCACTTATGATTGCGTATGTCTTATTTGTTTCTATTAATTCCATGTTTGTAAGTGCAAAGTTTCTTGCAGATTAGATATTGTCACATTTCCGAATTATCGATAACTTACAGCTTCCAAATTTCAAAGGACATCGCTGAGTATCCATAGGGAAATCCTCGAGGTTCATTGGGCATCCAGCTTTAATTGTCAGTCTGTCAACACACAGAGGATTATGCTACATTACCACATAAAATCCAACTAATGGAAACAGAAAAGTATTGACGTCAGACCATGTTTATTCTGTAACATTCAGTTACGTAGGCCCTACTGTAAATTAGTTGTGACAATGTTATACGTATCAATTACAATAAAGTATGATACTTAAATAATTTAGAACAAAAATAAATGTCCCCACACAAAAGTGAGAAATAGTAGTACGTCTAGAATTTTAATACTGTGACTATGTGACATATTTATTGCTACAAAACTTAAATCTTACATCAAATCATCATGAGAAGGGGAATCTGTTTGTGCGCGTGGCGAATCTGTGACAAGCTGAAATTGCATAAGGGGTAAGTCGTGCTTCCTAATTGTCCTGAGAATGTGCGTAAGAGAAACAACGCAGTAATCAGGGGTACTTACAGGAGTACAGCCTTAGACTAAGCCATTGTCTTTATGTTTTGTCAATGTTAAATACCTGGAGCTGTAATCATCTTTCATACTGTCACGTGCAGTGTCTAACATAACTTAGCCACCCTGATGACGGAGGTTCTCCGTGATTTTCCTTACTGTAAGTCAAATGCAAGGGTGTAATTAAAAGGTGTACTGCCCCCCTACCCCCAGTCACCAAGGCCTTCAGCCCAAATTATTCCCCTCATGTCGCAGAGGCCTTCAGCCTAAGCGATCCCAAAACTTCTGGATTCAGCTCCCAGATATAGAGTAATGACATCGAGTCGAATGAGATTGGCAGGATATTTAGCACGCATGGAGGGCGTAATAAATGCTTAGCGTTAGATGAAAGGATGACGTTTTAAAGGATCTTAGGGAAACAGGACGCAAAGCTTTGGATAGAATGGAGTGACATGGTTCAGGATGTAGACCGGTGGAGAGCTTTGGTGAACACGGCCGTGAATCGTCTTCCATTAAAGGCCCAAATTTCTCGACCAGCTGCTCGATTATTAGATTATAAACAATGGTAATCGAGATTTCTGTCTTCTCGATTGTTGCGATTTGTAGTCTGGTAGATGTTTACAAACGTTTCAGAGGTCATACTGACTCCGTCGTCAGCGCAACAACCCAGAAGACAGAAATCTTCATACTCACCGCTGTGAAAACCTCAAATCATACAATGATAATGGAGTTAGCTACAACTAATCAACATTACAGATCTCAGTGCATTTGTTACCTAGAAGTATGAATACAAATAAATTTGCGGCAATTCAGATCTCTCTTCAAGGGCTATTGGTAAAGACGCGCACATCTGCTATCAAAATATTTAAAAAGACTTCGTGTATATTACAGAATTACACTTCAGATGCCCTATTCCACATGCATGGAGATGTTCAAGATGAAACTCGTTGTCTTTCTTCGTACCAGTGACTGTTCGCGTGAAATGCTGCTAAACCTATTTGTCGCACAAGCAACCATGGCGTGCTCTTTATGTGAATTATGAAAGTAGTAGACTCGTATCTTCTGAATATGTATTTTCCTTGCTTAGTACGATTTCATACGTCATAACCCTACAGAAAAAACCACTAACAACAGAATATTTTTTTACGATGTGGTACAAGCACCAGTAGAGTGTAGATTCGTTAGTACACTAAAGTTTAACATAAAAGCAGATTAAACGCTGGGAATTATTGCTACCATGTAGTGGGACTCTGTGTTACCGGATTATATTGTGAAACACACACAGGCCCACACTCTTTATAAGACTTGTTTATTTAGAAAATACAAATCAACAGACGTAGACATACACACACAAAGATACAGACTAGTCACACATAGAAAAGAATGATGACCAGTTGAACATACTGTTAATCACATTTTCAGATAAGCAGGCCAGACTTCTAATAAGATCTTCGACGCGTTAGATTTCAGACAAATCATTTTTGGGAAGCATACTTTTAGATTGGACTCTTCCAGTAATGAGTATAAGAATATTGTAATAACTTGCTATCAAACTTCGGAGGAGAGGAATTGAGATCAAGAAAACGTCGATAATGGAACGTTGTCTATGGGGCTTTATAAAGCAGCGCTAGTTTGAGGCGATATCGCCTTTGCTGTGTACTTAAAGGGAAAAAGAGAATCCCAGAAAATTGGAAAATACGCTTCATCGGCAAATCTTTCAGACTTCTAATCCTTCGGTTTGTTCAGTGATCCCCTAAAACTACGTGCGCCTGAAGACTTGAATTATTTTCTTGGTTACAAAATTCTTATCGTTTCAAGATAAGCAAACGCATCTTTACATTTTATACTGAACCAGAATTTACCGCGCAAATATGGATTTAAAAGACAAGACTACAAGAAAGTATTTGCAGAAATTGCCAACGGTGTAACATACTTAACGACGCGTTTTAGCTTCCTGTGTTCTTGGGCATCCTGTCAAATGTTCCCACCCCTCTGGGCCTTGCGGAGTAGGCTGTGATGATCATAAAACCTGATTAAATTTGTCACGATTCTGTATCTGATTCTTGGAAATTGTTACATTTATAATTACATTTCATCGCTATATTTCTGTCTCTTGCGTGTTTCTGAAGATAAGTTTCACATGAACATATTCTACGTATCCCGTAACGAATGTTACAAATTTAACAATTTTATTATCCCTACTTTTAATTGTAAAACTTGGGCAAAATAAACTTTTTTTGTTATTTTTAGTTTTCTGACTAGTGGATGGGTAAATACTTATGTTACTTTTGTGAGTCCGCACAGCTCAGTCAGTATTAAGACTGTGACAGGCTGGACGAACGGGATTTGACTCCCGGCAAAGGCAGGAATTTCTCTCTTCGGCACCTTATCCAGAAGGATTCCTGCCCACTTGAAAATGAAACTGTTTTCCGGAAATAATGCGACTGGAGCGTGGAGCTAAGCACACGGCTCCTAGCGGAATATGTCATCATGGCGCGGTGCATTACCACGGGGACAAATTTAACGTTTTTCATTTGTTTACGTTCTTATAGTTTATATTTGGTTTTAATTTCGTACGCTAATTCTGCGTCGCCCTTCCTGGAATACTTTTTTGCAAGACGATGGATAACAGGGAGCTACGGGAACTTTTTAAAAGTACATCAATGACATTAATCAAGAAATAGTATATATGATGGACGCGACAAGTAGAAAGTCTGGGGAAACAGAAATTACACAGGAGCATTTTTGTGAACCTTCGTGAGACGATAATTAGGGAGGCATGTGCATATACGCGAATATGATATTAAAGTGGAGCTTAAGAAAATATTCAGTGAACGTCCTGAAGCCAGAATGAAGTGGGAGTTGTGTGGACAGAGGGACAGAGGACATGCCCTTTAACAGTCGATTAAAACAATTTCGAGACCATGGATCACGGGTTTTAATGGCGCTCAGGACATGACTGTTCTCTCGGTACGCGTTTGCTGTTGTCCTCTGTAGGTTTATCAGTGAATTCGGCCGATCCTTCATCCAAGGCGTCCTAAAGTGTGTGATACGAGTAAGTTTAAATATGAAAGTGCCTGTAGACCATTACACGATACTGCTTCGCATTCGGGAGGTTCCAGATTCAAATCTCGACCCGGAGACGAACTATCACTTCAGGTTTTTCGTGTTTTCCTCAGTCCTTCCAAGCAAATGCCGTAATGATGCCTCAAATTACATTTGTACATTTACCTTTAACGTACCTTCTAATTCATTACTGACTGTCCTGTCATTCGACTCTAAATATGCAAGCAGGTGAAACAGCATCGTTAAATATATCCCAGTGATAGGTCACATGGCACCATACTGGTATGAGTTCCAGAAATATCGGAAATAAGATACGAACATGCGTCACAATCACGAAGACGAGACTGCGCGTTCTGATAATAAAGAAATTATATTCAATGTCAGGTGTTTTAAACATTAAAATGTTCTCACAGTGCCAGTCTCTGTTGCACGGGAGAAACTGCCCAGCGTTCCTTCCGGCAGCAGACACTGAATCTCCTCATCAGTTGAACCGTCACGTAGAACATTACAGCATCTGTTCAGACACTCGTCGCATTGTACACTATGATGAAACAAAACTGCCAATTTTCAGATGTGTAACATGACAAAAGTTTATCACATTTCGTGGGTTCGATTTTTTTTAAGGTGAACCGTGGTACAATTTTTCCAGTTATTCGGCGGGCTAACAGCTGCTCACGGTTTAAAACTAGAATGTCACGCAGGGCCTCGGGCCTCATTAAAATTTAACTTTGGGGTTTTTACAACACCCAAAATGAGAAAATAGAGCGGGTTTCCCTCTAGATTCAGTTTAATGCAAGAAGTGACTGAGGGGGAAAGGGTTTCTGGTAACGCGTCTGAATTAATTGTCAGTAAAATCACGTACATGTCTTCCGATGTGCTCTTACGCAGGTCTCTGTTCGTTGTCTGTGAGTATTTCCAAAGTGATAATGCTCTTTTGAGCACACATGTTTCTGTTTTTCGACTTCAGGTCACTTCGTCCGCCATGTTAATGTAATTGCCCATCGGTGAGATAGGTGATTGCACTTGAAGTCGCTGAATATAAAAATTATTTCGTCTACACCAAAGTTTCAGTGTTACAAGCACCGACGCCCATGTCTCCTGTCAGAGAGTAGCAGATCGGACTGAATCTCATTACTGACTGAGCCGGGTTCATACGATTTTGCCACCCGTTAAACTGCGAGAACGCATTGGATCTGTTAAGTTACATAACCTGGCAAGAGGGTGGGGAGAAAATATCCGTCCGAGGAGGTCAGTGGCGGACACAAACATATTGTTCGACTGAATTTCAGTTCCGGTGGCTAAGTACAATGACTTATCTTGGGTTGGGTACCGGTTTTCGATTCGGGGGGTGGGGGGCAGGGATTTTTCTTTTCGTTACCGCGTTCAGACCGACTTTGTGATGCGCCCACCTTCTTATGAAATGAGTACCAGAGGTTGTGTACTCCGGGGTGGGGTGGGGGGGCAAAGTTTGAGCTGACCAAGCTCCTTCATTTAGTGCCAAGGATAAAAACGCTTGGTGCTATCCTCCACTCTCAGTGCACAGGGACAACTTACACTTTTACATTGGTTCTATGAATGACTTAGCCAGACTGCATGCATATTACACTTGTCTTTAATGATTGATATTTACCATGATGAAGAATGCATAAATTAGAAAGCGTGTACCGAACATGGGAGCGGAGTTGGCAATCATCTTAAATTAAACCTCCGCCTTTTCGTTTCACGCGATTTGAATTTTACTGGTCATCATATAATAAGACGCTTGTAATCTGAACTCTTGACAGCGTTTTAAATTATAAATAAATAAGCAAGTAAGTAAACAAACAAACAAACAAACAAACATTAACACACAGCTTTAGAAACACGCTACGAAGTTTATGCATATTCCGACGCACTACATTAGGGCTATTTCAGAATCAGCGCAGCGAGCAGAGAATGCTCAGCAAAGGACTGTGACCATAAAATTTAAACACGGCGATACGATAATTTATTTAGAGCTCCCGTATGGTATTTATCGTTTATTAACAAGATTTGAGAGTTGTACTCTTTGAAGTACCCTGAAATTACAAGGTAGATTTTCACGGGCCGCGAGCAGATTCTTTCGTTGATAACTACGACTCAGAGTAAATTGTGGACTCACACGACTCTTACTCGAAATGAATAACAAAGCAACATTGGTGTCTAGGTCACTGTTACGAGTGTAGAAATCGAAAATGTGGGATATATGAAGGTGAAAGGATATTCGAGCTATTTCATAAATGCTGTTCGAAGCGTGTGTAGATATACAGGGTGGGTGGGAAGTAAGTAGCCATTAAATAATCGCTATACATTGGAAATATAGAGGTTATAACCATTTCTCAATGCCTTCTTACTTCCCACCCACTCTGTACATGCTCATTGCAAAGAAACTGGCGTAGGGATTAATGGTGGTGTCAGACAAGAGAATCCCGTATAGTCTCTATTGTTCGAAATTTACGTAGACGAAGCCATAAAAGAGTGACGAAAATTTTAAAAAATATTTTATCGACAATATAGAAACAAATTTTTAATCGCTGCTGGCTACTAAGTAAATATAGCAGTTGTCAGAATAGAAGACGAATTGTAAAGAGTAATATATGGCCTATAGAAGTTTAAATAAAAGACAATGGCCTTACTGGGGACTCAGACAGGTAAGGTCGGAAATAATCATAATATCATGAACATTAGGGCAAAAAAGTTCCTTTATTTAATTGCGTATTCGTACAGAGAAGAAAGTCTTCAAATTTTAAGAGCCATGCTGTACGATATGAAGAACTTCAACAGATAAGACAAAACGAGGCACACACATCTTTTTAAAACCTTGGCTATCCCTGCTATAACGTGAGGTTCTGATATGTGGACAGTGACTAAGGAGCACAATTATTGAGTGGGGCGGTAGAAATGCACTCTTTCTGTTTAGTGATTGGTGTTTACCTACAGCTTCAGAAAAGAAGCACAGAAACAAGAAAATATGTTATATTTTTACCCTGAATGAAAAATCAGTATATTAAAGACAAAAGAGTGTTGAAAAATGGAAGAGGAACGAATAACCCCCCACCCCAAAAAAAAGAAACAAGATCTGGAGGGAGAAGAAATGTGAGGAGACCCAGAATAAGATGGAGGGATCGTGCTCTTATGAAAACGACACTGGCCTAAAACTCCAATCCCTGAAGTTGAAGACGAAGAAAATGCGAATGTACAGTGAAACCACCGACTCACGACGTGTCGTGTTTCTCAAAAGGCTCGTGCAACTCGAAAGGACTTCCTTTTCCGTGGAATTAATGCCGCGATTGGAGGCCGCATTCTCGAACTTCCCGCCCCGCGGCACCGAAAAAATCTTGGAATGGTGAAGGAACCCGTCTTTCTTTATTGGCTTTTCGTGAGGAATACAGTCCGAAGTGCATTGCCACGTCATGTGTCCTCACCATCAGCTAGGCTTACGAGTAAAAAGGTAAGACCTACACGAAGATCGACAATCGAAGTGTGATCGCTGCTTTAGGGCATGCATTACAGACTTCCGGGAAAGTCAAGGAAACTAATTCTCTTCCTTGATAGTCGATGGAATGAGTAGGATTTGAACCGAGTACTTACATTATAGAAGCCAAAACATTACGAAACTTTCCAGTTGCGTTATAAATATGCACGATATTAGAACGGGTCTTATTATTTGCTCGTAAGTTAATTAATAAACTAAATTCGTTTAAATTTGAGTTGGTTTTAGCATCTGAAAGTTCAGTGCTAAAATTACAAGAGCTTAAGTGGAAGGTGCAATATTCTAAGATCAGAAATGGAAAGAACACTGATTTCGAAAATTTGTCTGACAGGAGCTACTTACGAATGATTAGTTTTAACGCTGACTTTAAATTCATTAACTTGTCATGTTGAAAGAAGTCAACAATTTTATGAACGTAAAAGTAGTACAGAATGAATACAGAGTTGTCTTTACTCACCGTGATGAGTAAAGTACTCTTCCGTCTTGATACAATCTCACAAATTTGTTGGGTGTTGTGATGGTGTGGAGATAAGACTGCTTTCCGTTATAGAAATACGTGTCCGGCTTCCAAATTCTCTGCAACATTGATATGCTAAGTGCCAGAGTCTCTTTGTTACCCTTGAAGGCAAGCCGACGGTCCACCCACGACTGACGGAAATAGCAATCCATCGAATAGGTCTGGAAATGGCGAGAAATGTTCAAGTGAGACGCAGACATTTTTAGAGTATATCTCCTTGGAGCAGAATCTTTTGTGGTAAGACATGTATCGTACCATATCCACAAATTCCCCGTATTTTATGGCGCGCGAATGTTCATTACCTTATGCACAAGAACATGCCATTGGTCTCTATCCTGAGGCAGATGAATTCAACACAGATTTTCATACGCCGTTCCTGTCAGATGCATTTCAATATTAATTCTCCCACTTACGCTTATATATATATATTTTTTTTTTTTGAGGTTTTTTTTTTTTCAAGTGAGAGTGCAGAGAGTACAGAATGATGACTTTCACTTGTACAGACCAAGAAGGCGGTCTGTTCTCAGCCCACACTCCTTCAATACAGAAGTACTTGATTTATAAGGTTGCTGTGCCTAACCAATTTCTACGAAATCTGGTATGCATGTGAAGTTACTTCACTATCGATCACTTCATCCTCATGATTTGTTTTTATTTCCTACGAGCAGTGATAACAACATAGCGAAAACAAGACCTTGTTACATCTGAGGGATTCTACCGCCACTTACTGTACGATCCTGAAATTACACATGGTAATAACAGATATTAAAAGATGTTCAATTGCTTTTAAGTGATATGTTTTGTAGTCTGTAAATCCATTTTAACTTTTACTTTAATAGTAATAACGATGAGAAAAGCACTTAAAAATTATGCCCGAAGCAACTTACTGTTTTATGCAAGCAACTTCAAACACAGAGAGGATGCAAACGTTTAAAATTATACCTGACAAATTTTGTGAACTCGGATTTTTAGACGTTGTCGGAGACACTCTCAAGCGCACCTCCTAAGTGTGAAAGCTCGCTTTCCGCCAGAAGGTTGTCGCACCACGCCTTAGAGCACATTCTTCTTTGCACCAGAAAAAGAACAACCTGCCCTTTCTGTTTAGGAGACTTAATTTTATTTCTAAGCGACTGCATCGCCGAACATCTCAGGCAGTCAAGTAATGAAATTGTCTGATGCTGTAAATTATCGTATTTTGTAGCTGTTATGGTTTTTCTTAGCAGCGAAGGTCTGAAATGGGGAAGTTCGACAGGGACACTCATAGTTTTCAATACATTTCTGTACTCACTGTAAAAAAAAGCTTAATTATTGTGCGCTTAAGTAATACGATATAACAGTAATTTGAAACTTTGCTTCAAGTAACTATTGATATGTACGGTAGTTGAATTTGTATTTGGATTCAGATTATATATAACCTTACCATATCGACTTCAGAAATTGGCCCCATGCTCCTCACCATAATGTCCACTTCTATGACGGCAGGCGGACCTGAGAAGGAAGCGGTGTGAATATTTTGGATTTACAGTACACAGAAAAATCTAGAATACGGGCTAGACTATTAATGATCGATTCGAGGTAAGGACAGCAATTTTTCTCTTTGCCACTTTGTTCAGATCGCTTCTGGGGCTCACCGACAAGCATCGATGGATCTTTTTCTGAGAGCAACGTGGAAGGAGGGCGAAGCTGAGTAATCGTCTTCATGGAGGTAAAGAATGTAGGATTTGAGGTTTTCGAGGCGGTGAGTCTGAAGAAGACAGCCATCTTCAAGGTTAAGAGTGTTTGGAGTTCTACGCCCAATCCCATGTCCGGGTGCACTAACAGAACAACCTTTTCTTTAAGAAAGCCTCTTAATGTGTTCATTTTATTTTAGTAAATCATTTTTGAGTTATATAAAATATGTGGCTACTACGTTATATCAAATTCTGGTAAAAGCTCTGGTATGGAACTTAGCCATAAAGAATTACGAAATCTGAAAGCCTTTATAACCGAATACAAGACTGAACGTTCCTGTGTCATTCTTCCTTATCTAGGACGACCTAGGTCGGTCGTTGCTTCGAGTACTATACGTGTCGTTCATGAAATATAAAACAGGCCAACTCTGTGAGCAGAATACTTCTTAAGGAGTTGAAAGTCGTTCAGATTTTGACGATAGATATACTCGTCTAGCCAATCAATTTCTCTTCTTCTTCTTCTTCTTCTTTTTTTTTTAACCCGAAGTTTCATGATCGTGTCCTCTAGAACCCGCCACCGGTCCGTATCCTGAGCCCATTTTTTACATAATTTGGTTTAATGTAATATGTTCCAAGTTAAGCCAATGAAAATATTGAATTGTTGTAACCATGACCTGTTGTTACAGCTGATGCTTTTCTTTAAACAGGCATGGCCGTAATTTCAGCTCTTTCACCACTCGCTGAGCACCTGCCACAGACAAACACTTCCTATGTCCCAGAATCTTGTTATCAGTTGCTCCTTACTTCGTAGCTCACTCCCATCTTGGCTACTTCGACTCGAAGTAACGTTTGAGAATGAGTACACATGTTCGCACCTTCAAAACTTTTACGTAAGCAGCGACCTATCAATTAAGGAGACCGTGACTCGAATGTCATGGGGGAGGTTGGGATAATCTTTTATGGGGTGGACCTGCTCCTGTTTTAATTTATGTACCGCTGAAAGTGATTGTTGTTGGATTGTAAATGCCCTGAGGAAACCAGTATTATTTTCAGACTGTACGCCAGTGGCCACTGGGTTGATTTCCCTCGTCGTTAGGGTTTTCGTTTGGATTTATAACTTTTCTAGGTCTCCATACAATGACACAGCGACAGTGCCTTGAAATAGCCACGGAATTTTCTGTAAATATCCTTCAGGTCCCCATCTCATTTGGTTCTGTTCAATCCTGTACTTGATACAGCGTCCTTAAAGACAAGAACGTGAACATTGACATGTACTGATGTCCTTAGTCTTAGCTGTGGCGTTAGGTTTATTGATGAACACTTACTAGTCACGAGTAGGACAATGCAAAAAGGCAGTGTCCTAGTGTGAGAGATCAAAATTGAAGATATTTATTGACAATTACTTGGCATAGGAATTTTATTGGGCCACTATATTATTATTATTATTATTATTATTATTTATTTGACTGCAAATGGGTTTTTACCCGGTGGCAGTGGTCCTACAATAAGACACAAAACAATAAGACACAACAAAACAATAAGACACAACAGAACAATGAGACAGAACAAAACAATAAGACACAAAAACATAAGACACAACAAAACAATAAGAAACAACAGAACAATGAGACACAACAAAACAATAAGACACAACAGAACAATGAGACAGAACAAAACAATAAGACACAAAAACATAAGACACAACAAAACAATAAGAAACAACAGAACAATGAGACACAACAAAACAATAAGACACAACAGAACAATGAGACAGAACAAAACAATAAGACACAAAAAACATAAGACACAACAAAAACAATAAAACACAACAAAATAATGAGACACAACAACAAAAAATTGTTTAGTCAGTGTGATGAGAATTTTAGGTTTTAAATATTAAGTCAAATTTTCCACATTGTTACTCACCTCCAAAATCTGGTCGTACGCTGTTGTCATAACCTCGCAAGAGACTATCCAGAATTTCGGATATGTTCCTGTGGTTGTTGAGCTGTGCCATCTGCTGTCTTCCGGTTCTGAAACCAACAAAGGTTTGTGGTTCGCTCTTAGTGAACCTCTGTTCAGCCCGTATTAGTTCTGCAACATTCTAGGAAACCAATAATCTTTATTTATATCCTTTTTGGTTCATATTTGCTTTGCTCTTGAAGGAGACTGCTTCCAGATATGTAGATGACGTTGAATAAAGATTCGCGGGCGGGAGACATGGGGTGATCCTTCAGCGTCGTGGTCGGGCGTAGGGTAAATAACTCTTCATCGTAAAATGTTGTTTTACGAAGGCTCGGAATTGAAACGACAGAGGTAGCGTTTGAATGACACGACAAGCGATACGGTTAGATATAGAGGTGTAGGATGTTAGGAAGGAACAGGTTCGGAATCACTTTTGTGTTAGCGGCGTTGTACCATCCAGTTCAGATACAGTGTGTTAAAAATGTATTAAATCATGTGAGAACTCTGTTAAACTGCTCGTAAGTAGCGTTGCTTGGTGCGAGGGTGTGGATTGTAGTCATCTAGCACAGGAATAGGGGCTGATTGTGGCTGTTGTGAACGCTGTACGATGAACCTAAGTTTAGAGACGAAACACGCCGAATGACCTAAGCCATGACAGTGGGTTACTGATGATGATGATGGTGATAGTACAGTGATGTGATCACATTCCTGTTTCTTGCATGCCATGTGCAGAGGACAGAATTTTATCTCCGCAGACCAGTTATCACGCCTTCATGTTTGGTGATGACACAGGAGTGTCATGCTTCTTGGAAACTTTTGTATGGAAATGCGAAATTTAATATACTGTCAGTGGCATGTGACATAACAGCAGGAGGTTTTCTGAAACCAATCTCGTCAATAAATAAGTTACAGACGTTGACGTTTTCTGTAAAATGGTATCGTTTACTTTTTTGGATACGTTTTGTTACTGCTGTTATACAACCGATCCATATGGCCATATAAGTCTGTATGCTGCTAAAGCATAAGGTTCGTGGGTTAGAATGCAAGTTAAGGAATAAATACTTATTCGTGCTTTTCTGTGTGCACTTGGGATGGAAGTGGCGTTGACATGTCTATTTGCCTATTTTGGCCTTGTGGCTTCTATTAATAAATATTTGAAAATCTTCTGCAATAGAAGATGCCTTGGTTCGAGTAGGAATCTAGCGCTCGTGAAAAGAAAAATCAGTGGATGTGACACTGATTATGAAAGGTCGAGTTTTAGAAGTAAAGCTGTATTATTTCATTATTGGTGGCCATCGATTGCGACAAAGTAACTAAGCTGGATAATTGGTTAAAATCTACACAGTCATACAGCTTTTTTTTAGCACTCTAGAGTTACTATGATACGAATCTTGAATATTTTTCTTTTGCACTGTTACGTATTTTTCGATTAATTAAAGTTTTTCAAATATTTGTGTGCACTATTCTCTTTCAGACAAGTGAAAATTTATTGGTCCGCAATATTGATGCGAATTTTAAAATGTAAAATATGTAAAAATCTGACTTGGAAATTAAATATACTGACAAAATATGAGAATTTTCTTCTTATCGGTTAAAAAGTATAATAAGAGGAGAAAGATTCCCTATTGCTTCTGACACAAGATTGCAGCGAATGGAATAGAATTTTATAGTCCAGAATTTCTTGATCTGCAGCCCGAATATGTTTTGTGTTTCCAACGTACATTTTTGTTACATTGTATCACCGTGTGTAATTAAAAATAGTACTCCCCATGTTAAATAATTGTTAAAAATTAACATGGGGAGTTGGTTTACAAAGACTGGTGAATCTCCAAGTGGAAAATTAATGACAACAGATGAGGAAGTGGTATACATACGGTCAAACTACTTTGCGCATGTGCGAACGCTACACGTTATGATGAAAACATTTTTCCCTGGTTTCGGTTAAGGATGGCGGTTCAAGTCTTTAGCCAACTCCGAGGTGTGAGTTACGCGAAAGTTCTGATTATGTTTTAGAATTTATTCTTTTGCCAAAGTGATTGGTTCATGAGGCAAAATGCGTTTTTTATGACGAAAAGAATCACTATC